CATTTGCAACATGGATGAAACTTTAAGGCATTATGCTAAGAGAAATCAGTGAAAGACAAATACCATATGATCTCACCGATATGTGGAATTTTAAAACACAAAAACAAAATTTGAACTCATGGTTACAGAGAACAGATTGGTGGCTGCGGGTAGGGGTGGAACAGAAAGAAACAAGACTTCTTAAAAAATACCTTATTTTATATGTTTGCTTTTAAAAGTCTTTTCATATTTTACATAATTACAAAACAAAATTAAAATTTTTAAAAGCAACCCCTAAATACGAAAGCAAAATAAAAAACAGAAGAACCAGTAGTGTGGTATCATGGAGCAATGATTCTAAGTGACTTTAAACACAGTAATTTGACTGCATAACCCTAATAAGTATGCAAAAAAAAAAAAAACCTTACACAGTTTTTATTGGTTGCTGGTAGCAGTGTTTGTATTACCCTCCTGAGACTGAGATGTGTACAGACTGAGATGTGTACTGAGATGTGTACAGTACTGAGTAATTAGAATCAAGATGTTTGTCTTAAAAGAAAAAAAGATACAGGTGTAAGATCAAAAAGGTTAACTAGAACTCTGTCTCCCAGCTTTACCACTGGAAGCACCAGTAACCCACAATCTGAAAAGACTGGGAAACAAAGACCAACCTAGTGGGGATGCACAACCGACCCCAGGGCCCAGACTGCGGTGACCGAACACGACTTTTCACTCGGAGAAATGGACGAGTCCGGGCCGGGACAGAAAATGTGCGAGATGAGCCTGGGGCAGGCAGTCTGTCGTACCAGAAAGAAGAGCGCCCAGAGACTATTAGCATTGTGTCTAAAGGATTTAGGAACCATTATTAAAAATAACTACTATTATTTTAAAATAAAGGAAAAAAGGACTTAGGCACCAATTTGAGCAGATCCCTACTGGACAAAGATGGGATAACCTGAGAATCAGTAAGGGAAATGTCTACAATGGACTGAACCACATCAAATATGCCCACACCCTTGAGTGCCAGTGACACACACACAGAGCTCACTGGCTACTTCTGCAGGACACCAGCTCATTATTTTAAAACTAGTAAGTAACGGAAAGAAATTAAGTATTTATCCTGCCTTTCCCAATAGAACTATAATTTAAGGTAACAAAATTATGGAGGGGAAATGTCTCCTTATAGAAGCATTCCAGCTAATAAATGAAATCACAGGATTAAAATGTCCACATCTTCAACGCCTAATGAAATAACGACTCTAGGTCTGAGCGTCAAGGGCTGCTAGCAAGAAGAAAGAATATTAACCCTGATCTGCCTGTTCACCTATGAAGTCTTCTCACCAGAAATTAAACCAAACCTGAATCTGATTCCACCTTTAGATGTAACTACATTAAATTCACAGAGAATTCCGTGTAGTTAAACCCTAATACAGAATAAAATCCAGACTGTGTATAACTCCACAGGGCAAATCACCAAGTTCCAGCAACAAATAAACTTCAAGAAGGAACAAAAGACAAAGGGGGACCTATGGGTTAAAACAAGTCACAATGCATGAACAGCGCTTGGATCTTGACTCAAACTGTTAAAAAAAATCGAGGCAATCAAGAAGATTTTAACACTGGGTGGGTACTTGAAGGTAATAAGGAACCCTGTGATGGTGATATTTCTGTTTATCTTTTTAAAAAGATGAACGCAGATATACACAGCGAAATATTTAACAGTTAAAATCAAACGACATCTGGACTTCAGGCTACAGATGCAGCAACGTGAGCCGTGAGTTGGCTGTTGAGGCTGGATGAGGGCAGAGGGGCTTATAATCAATACTATACATACTTCATGTGTGAGACAAATTACTCAGGTAAAAATAAATAAAGTCAACTTAAGCTCTCAGTTTCCCGTAATAAAAATGTTTTTAAAATTTTAAAATTAACTGTCGGAAACCATCAATAAGCAAAAAGACAACCTACTGACTGGGAGACCATTTTCACTGATACATCTGATAAGGGGTTAATATCCAAATTGATAAAGAACTTATAAAACTCCACAGCAACAAAACAAACCACCCAATTAAAACACGGGCAGAGGACCTGAACAGACGCTCTCCAAAGAGGACACGGAGACGGCCCACAGACGTGTGAAAAGGTGCTCAAGCCACTCACTGGTCAGGAGAGAAGTGCTAACTGCAGCCACACTGAGATCCTCTCCCACCGGCCAGAACGGCCTGCATCACCGGATCAGCAGACAACAGGTGCTCTCACCAGGACCAGGACAGGGGGGCGAGGGGACCCCAGGGCGCTGTTGGTGGGAATGCGGACTGGTGCAGCCACTATGAGAGACAGTATGGAGACACCTCAAAAAAACTAATTAATTTTGAGATACGTCAAAATTAAAAATGGCTCTGCCTTCTGGCCCAGTGATTCCACTCCTGGGAACACATCTGAAGGAACCAAGGACGCTCATTCGGAAGAACGTAAGCACCCCTGGTGTTCACTGCAGCGTTACTCACAGCCGCCGAGATCTGGAGGCAGCCCAAGTGCCCATCAGCAGATGAGCGCATGAGGACACTTGCACAGGGAAGTACTACTCGGTGGTGAAAAAGAAAATGTTACCCTTTGCAGCAGCACGGAGGGACCTGGGGAACACTGTGCTACGTGAAATAAGCCGGTCGGAGAAGGGCAACCACCACCTGACCCCACTCACATGTGGAATCGAATGCACCAACGGATCCAACAAGCGAAACAGACACAGACGCACAGGTGAAGAGCAGGCCGACAGCTGGGGGAGCGGGTGAAGGGATCAAACAGAAGAGAAAACGGACTCATGGACCCACAGCTGGGTGGTGATGGCAGGGCGCGGGCGTCGTAAGGGGGATAAATGGTAATGGAAAATACAATAAACAAATTTTTTAAAAGATTTTATTTATTTCTTTTTAGAGAGAGAGAGAGAGAGAGAGAGAGAGAGAGAGAGAGAGAAACATCAATGTGCGGTTGCTGGGGGTCATGGCCTGCAACCTAGGCATGTACCCTGACTGGGAATCGAACCTGCGACACTTTGGTTCGCAGCCCGCGCTCAATCCACTGAGCTACGCCAGCAAGGTATAAATACAGTAAAAATTTTAAAAAAACTGTCAAACTAGTAAACAACGGAGACAACAAAACTTTAGCATTAAGTATTTGGCTTTTTTAGTTTGTTTATCTTAAAGCAGTATCAGTATTTACTTTTCTGATTCAATACAGTGACTGCCTGAAGTAACAAAACGAACAATCATCTCAAGAAACAGCTTTTGCGGCGCAATCGGTGGAACACAGCAACCCCACACAAAACCTAATCAGTACCCGATAACGCCTCGGGTTAAAGGGGGAAACGGCCAGCCCCGTAAATTCCTTTTTCCGAGGAAAACCAGCCCGCGTCTGGGAGGCGGGGCAGCTCTCCGAGCCTCCGCGCCCCGCGAGCCTCCGCGGAGCAGGGGCGAGCACAGAACCGCCCCGGCCGGCCGCGCGGCTGCGAACCGCACCAAATCCACGCCAACCTCCACTTCCTCAAAAACACCTCCGCCGCGCCGGCCCTCCCCGCGGACGGAACCGAACCGAAGGCGCAGGTCAGGGTTTGGGGTTTTAAGAAAGAACGCACGCACCGCTGGCACTGGCCCGACTTGGGCCAACCCCCCGGCCCGCCCTCCGCGTCGGGGCGGGGTGGACCTCCTGGCCCTGCGCCGCCTTCTCGCTGCGGCCGGCGATGCTCGCAGGGAGGCCGAAGGGGGGCCTTTGGGCAGCCTGCTTCCTACCCCACTCCGATTCCAAAACATTTTCACACGGAAAAAAACCCGCATCAGCCTGCCAGCGTTGTGCCCAGCCACCAGCGACGCGCCCGGTCCTCGGGGCTCCGGGCCGTCGGGGCGGAAACTCAGCAGCACTTGCGGCTCGGCCGATCTCGGGACTCCGGGGCGGCAGGCACGAAGGGAACCCGAACCGCCCACCCAGCTCCGGACCGAGCACCACCAGAGCAGACCTAAAAGTGCTGCAGGCAGAGGCCCCCCCGCCCGACACCTCCCAGAACCGGGCGAGGGGCGAAGGTGGCCAAGGGCTCCAAGGTCCCGGGCGGCCGCCCGTGGCCGTCCGCGGCAGGGCCGGCTTTGCCCTCGCCGCAGCAGCCGTCGTTGTAAAAACCCGGGCCGCCGGGCAGGATGCGGAGGCCGCGACGGTCTGCCTCTGTGCCCCGAGAGGCGCGCGCCTGCACCGCGCGGGTCGAGCGTGAGAGCCGGGGCCGCCTCCCCGCACGGTCCCCCGGCCCCCGCGAGAACCCGGGCGCCCCCACCGGGGCCAGCGTGCAGAACCGCTCGCGGGGCGTGGGCTCCCGCACCGGGTCCCGGCGGACGGGCCGCGGCCCGCGAGCGGGACCCTCCCCAGGGCGGGCCCGGCGGCCCCGCCAGCGCCCCCGCCCGCTCCGCCGGCTGCGGGCCCCGCACCCCGCCGCCGCCACCGCGCGCCGGCCTCACCTCACGGACGAAACGCGGGCAGCGCGCAGGATTCCCAAGTCCGAGTGCGGCCGCCGCCCGTCGCCTCCTGCTCCAGCTCGGCCACGGACTCCGGCTCCGCCCCTGTCCGCCCCGCTCCCCCGGTCCGCACCTCCCGCCCGCCCGGCCTCTCCGCCCCCTCAGCCCACGGCGTTACCCCGACCGCTGGAGTTGGGTGCGGCCTGCGGCGCTGCAGCCCAACAACACGCCACCCCATAGGTCCGGCTCAAGCCGCACCGCCAAGCAACACGCTCTACGATTGGCTGTTAGGATCCGAGGGGCGGGGCCTGGGCGGCGAAGGGCGGGGTTGCCGCCGGGGCGGAGGAGACCGGACTCCGCGTGGCCCCGCCCTCCCCGCGGACGGCCGGGGGTCTGGCGCCACAGGTCGTCTGAGGGCTGCGTGCGGGCGGCGGGTGCTGCTCCGCAGGCCTCGTAGCTGGAGGAGGCCGGGTGGGCTGTTCCCGCGGCGCCAGCTCGCCCCGATCCGCCTCCCCTCGGTCGTTGTCCCCTGCAGACTCTGGTGGAGCCCTTCCGCGGGCCCAGTTCGCGGGATGCTCGGCCGAGCCTTCCAGATGGTCCCGTTGGCCAGGGCCGGGGCCGCACCTCTCCCTGCCCGCCTCGCCCGCTCCTCCAGCAGACGAACCCCCTCGCGGAGGGCTCGGCCCCGGGCTGGTCTCTGCCCAAAGCCCCAGCAGGCGGGCGCGTCCCCAGGCGGACCCCAGGGTGCAGCCAGCACGGCGGGGCCTGCGGAGCTTGATAAGGCTCGACAGGCGGGGCTGCAGCCAGGGGCCGGAGCCGGGCCTGCCGCCGCTGGAGGAACGAGCCTCGGTCACCTTCTCGACCCGGGGATTGGCCCGGCCGGGTCACCTGCTCGTGACCCTGGAGGCCAGCCTCGAGACCAAACCAGCGCCCTCCCCCGCTCTGCCCTCCCCGTTGGGCTGTCTCAGCCCCCAGAAGGCCCGGGAAGGCTGCTGGTTGTTTTTTTAGACTTTATACCCACGGCACGCCGAGGTCCTGCGCTGGGCAGTGGAAGGACAGGGAGGAACCCGAGCCTCCCTGACCAGTGCGGACCTAGCCACAGGAAGGTCAGAGGTATTGTCCGTGCCTAACAGTGACCTCTTGACTCCGCCCGTGGCCTGGACAAGACCGCGCAACTCGGTCTGGTTCACATCCGTGTCCTGGCACCCAGCAGCAGGCCCCGGCCCCCCGGGAGGGTCAGTGCACAGAAGGGCGGGAAGGGAGGCGGGCGCAGCGGGAGAGACTGAGCCAAGCACCGCAGAGAGAACGACTTGAGAACAGTAATAACTGCGTGGGTGGCGGACGGAGCAAGACGTATCACCGCGATCCCTTCGAAAGTTATGTAAATGCCTGATTCCTGTGTTGTACGCCTGAAACTAACCTAACACTGTATGTGAGCTGTAGTTGAACAAATTTAAGATATTACTTACTCATTTCTATAGAGGGGGAAGGGAGGGTGAACGAGAGGGAGAGAAACATGGGTGTGAGAGGGAGACTTCAAAGGGTTGCCTCTCCAATGCTCTCAGCTGCGGGCCTGGTCTGCAGCCCAGGCCTGTGCCCTGACCAGGAACTGAACCCACATGCTTTGAGTTCACAGGCCCCGTGCTCAACCTGCTGGGTCACACCAGCCGGGGCTAAAGATGGGTTCAACAAATGTGTAAAGACCAAATCAGAGTTCTAAAGGTGAAGGCGACAGCGGAGGGGCCAACAGCAGACGAGACGCATCAGAAGAAAAAGTGGACTAGAAGCTGTGGAGAAGAAACGAAGCAAAGCGGGAGAGGACGGGGCCTGGGAGAGAGTGGGCAGAGCGCCAGCGAGCCGTGGGATGGCTCCAGGGGACCGAACTCGGGCGTGATCGGAGTCCCCGAACAGAAAGGTGGGGTTGTGGGGGAGATACACTGTTCGAAGACACAATAGCTGAAGTTGGTTTTGGTTTTTTCCCCCAAGTTTGCTAAAAACTATGAAACCACAGATCCAAGTAACTCAAAAAGTGACTCTGGCTTGCTCCTGGGCCCCGGTACAAACAGAATGTTTCTACCGGACGTCAAAAGTGACCGGGGCCAGAACGGCCATCGCTTGGCCTGCAGGACGGCCAAGACGTGAAGTCGGGGAGGTACAACAAAATCTGGACGTGGTGGACCCAGGACCGGGTTCACACAGGTGCAGAGGCAGGCAGTCCAGCCCCCACGTCCCCTGCCACCGTCATGAGCATCTGCACCTCAGCGCCTGTGTTCTCAGGGACTCCCTGTGCCAAGCGGTTCCTTGCATGCCTACCAGGCAGGCTTTCCGGGCAGAGGGACAGGAGCTGCAGGCACAGGGACAGAGCTGGATGTGTGTGGGAGCTGCCCTGAGAGGACTCGCCGCTGCCGGGTCACAGCCAGAGTCGGGCTGTGGCCTTCCCCTCGCGGCCTCTCCTCTGGAGACGCAGCTCTGTTCAAGTGCCAGCTTCGCCCCTTATTCCTTGTGTGGCTTGGATCCTCCAGGTCTCCCCTCCAGAGACCAGTCCCAGAGGGCGCTGGGCAAGAAGCCCCTTGGACCCAGACCCCAGTCTTTTCGACCGGCCGGCCTGATCGGAGCCACCCATCCCACCTGGGGGCCAGGAAGCTCCTCCTTGGACCAGCAGGGGGCGTCCATGCAACGTGACCCAGCATAGGGGTAGGGTCAGGGAGCAACAACAGACTTCTTTTGTGAGGCCTCTTCTGGTTCTAAAAACATCTCTTAATAATAATAATAATAATAATAATAATAATAAATCTAACAATGGGGGTATCGAGTTCTACTGCATGATTTCTGACCAACCGCGGGAGAAGGAAAATCGTGTCTGTCCGGGGCTGGGAGAAGCTTCCCACAGCATCTGGGGCTGTCTTCCCAAGCCCAGGAATGGACGGCATCTCTGAGCACGCGGTGATCTGGGCCAGCCCGTGACTTCTCTCTGAGCCTGCTTCCCCGCCTGTGAGAACCGGGAGCGGGTAGACCCGAGGGCAGGCCCCGGGGCCTTCTGTTGGCTTATCCCACGATGGAGGAAAGTCAGTTTGGCTCCGCCCACGGGGCTGTGGTCCCTCAGCTGGGTGGGAACACGCTCGCTCGGGGACCCCGGGAGACAGACTAACCAGACACCAGACAGGAACTGCCAGAGGCCACGGGGGTGGTGGGGAGCCGGGCAGGAGCCAGGTCTGGGCTCCGAGTACGGCAGGAGGCCACGTGGCAGTAAGTGGCAGAACCGGGACTTGAAGCCGGGCCTTGGCCTCAGCTTCCCACCTGTAAAATGGAACTAACAACAGCAGTGGCTTCTACAAGCAAAGTATCTCATGTAGCCGGCTCCGCGCCTTGAGCAGTAAGTGGTTGCTGAGTGGCACACAGCCTCCAACCCTCAATGAGGAACAGAACATCCACAGCAGGTCTCAGGAGGGAGTGGGGCCCCTCTGGCCCCCGCTTCATGCTGGAGGACCATGCCTGGGACCTCATCCACCCCCCCCCATGCACCCACTCTTTCAACCGAGGCCCAGGGGCAGGTCACACAGAGGCAGGCCCAGGGCCCGGGCGGAGGGGGGCGTGCCAGGCCCTGGGGTGGGCCTTGGGCAGCCACAGGCCTCAGCAGCACCTATCACGTGGCTCAGGGCCCCAGAACCGCTGAACCCTCCAGCTCAGGTGTCTTCAAATACGTTTCACACGCTCAGCCGCCTGCAAAGTGGCCGCGTGCCAGCCGAAAGCCTCAGCGTCCCACGTCTGCCTCACTGCCAGTGCGGAGGGCCCCGGGCACTGGGTGGAAACTGCTTCTCTGATGCCCGTCCCCGTTTTTAAGTTTCAGGAAGGAAGGCTGCAGCCTCGGTGCAGAGCAGCGTGCCTCCCCGGGGCCCCGGAGCCAGTGCAGGGCAGGGGGCTGGCGGGTTTCCAGACGCCGCGCAGGACTCGGGAAGCCCCCCGCGCCCCAGACTCCAGGGCGACTGCACCAGCCCGGCCCGGGCGGGCTGTACAGGATGCGTCTGCAGACAGTGCTGCCCTGGCTTCCCGGAAGCAGATGGCCATCGTCCCCACTGCAGCCCTCAGCCTCTCCCACGCCAGCTGACCTCTGCCGGGCTCCATCCCCTCCCCTTCTCCAGCAAACCGCCCCAGCCCACCCCCGAACATGCCCGGGCCGGGGGAGAGAAGCCCCAAGGGCCTTCTCCCGGGTGGAGTGCGTTTGGGTGTTACCCAGCAAATACCTTTTCCCAACACAAGTGCCAGGAGGATTAGATGCCCCAGGCGTCTCCGCCAGCCTGACCCCAGCTGAGGCTGTGTCACACACAAACGACCCATTCAGCCCAGATGGCCGTGCCAGGGAGAGAAGCTGGCAGGACTCCACAGCAGGAAGTGAGCGATGGATCGGGAGCTGGGCCTGCGCTGTGTGGGTGCCGCCATCCCCGCCTACCCTTGGCCTACTCAGGGCCCCCTCTTCCTGCCCCTGTCCGTACTGGTCACTTCCTGGAGCCACCAGCGGGACTCCAAGCCCCGAGCCCCGCACACCCCACTGCTGCGGACGGTGTGTGTGGTGAGCACCCGCAGGCCCTCGGTCTCCCCGGAACCAACTGCTGGTCCATGCAGCACGTGACCCAACTGTGCATGCAGGGGGAGCTCTTTGCTCTGCCGCCCTGCGCCCTGGGCCTGACCCCTGGCCATGGAACCTGCCGCTTTGGAGCGTGGGCTCTGCGCCCAGGCTGCTCGGGTGCGCCTCCCGTTCCATCACCAGCTGTGCGCCCGTGGCGCGTCACTGAGCCAGCTCCGCCCTGCACGGTTTGGGGACCGCTTCTCGGGGTCCCGTCAGCTGAGCTGCTGCGGTCTCCACTCGGACATCAGTGCAGACACGCAGTAAGACCGGCCACCCCTCCTTCCCGATAAAGCCGGGCCACCGAGGCAAAGGTCGTCTGTGCTTTATTGTGCAGCAAAGGCCCCTCCTGGAGCCTGAGTCTTAGCGTTCCTGGGGGTCCTGGGGACAACCCTGCCCCAACCGCGGATGCCCCAGCCCTCCCTGCCCGGCCCCCAGCCCTGAGCAGGGTGGGGACCAGAACTCCTGTCCGTGAAGCCCAGGCCAGCTCCGTCTAGAGAGAGGCCCTGGGCTGCTAGGTTTCACCTGGAGGTGAAACAGATGGGGCGGGGCAGGATACCAGAGAGCCCCGGCCCTCAGCAGCCTGAGGCCCGGCCCAGCCCCGAGGACCCAGCCTGCTGGGTGGGGCCCGGCCTGGCCTGGCCTGGCAGTCCGGTGTTCCGTCAGGGAGGCCTCGGGTCGGAGCTCCTCCTGCCCTGCGGGCCCGACTCCTCTGCGTGGCCTGAGATGGTAGCCTTGGGGTCACCTCGGCCCACAGCGCGTCGGCGTCACCTGGGCCCCGAGTAGCCGTAGGGGTGCTGCAGCAGCAGGCTCTGGTGGCCGGGCAGCGGGTGGGTGTGGTAGTGCTCCACCAGGCTGCCCACGCTCACAAACAGGACCTCGCCCTCCAGGTAGAATTTAGAGTCCTGGGGGGAGGGGGCAAAGGGTCAGGGGCACGGGGCCAGCCTCCCCTCCCTGCACAGAGGGGCGGACAGGCCCGCTCCCGGGGCCCCCGCGCTCCCCCCTCACTCCCCGCTCCGCCTCAGGGGCGCGGGCCGGTCTGTGGGTCAGTCCAGGGTCCAGAGCTGATCGCCCCACCCCCTCTTGGCAAGGAAGGGGAGGCGGAGGCAGTGAGGGAGGGACGGTGCCCGGAGGTGCCAGCCTCAGCCCATCCGCCGCCTGCACTCTGAGGAGACAGTCCTGCCCTCACGCCGGGTCCCCTCCCTCCCAGGTCCAAGACCGGGCCAGCCTGCTTACCTTCTCAAAGACGCGGTAGTTCCTCACTTTGTTGGAGCTTTCGTCCCACACGACCAAAACCTGCAGGGGGAACCATGGGCAGTGGTGGGCGCAGGCTAGCCACAGCTCTGGCCCTGACGGGGTCAGGCTCCGGGGCCCAGGGGGCGAGCAGCACCACGGCTGGGCCCTGTGGCCCTCAGGGGTGGCTTGGGGAAGGGCCGCCCTGCACAGACAGCAGGGTAGGGTGCAGGAGGGCAGCCCTTTGCTCCAGGGCTGTGGCCTCAGATGGCCTCTAGTGAGACTTGAATGGCAGTAGCAGGGGCCTGGCCCACCCTGGGACCGCCAAGGATGCACAGGGGACAGGGAGGCTCAGTGGGGTTACGTGGCCACCCTTGGAGGGGCAGAGGCGGAGCGAGCAGATGACCTGCCATTCCCACTGCCCCAGCAGCCTCCCCTTCCATGTGCAGCCTCCCCTTCCCACATCAGAGGCCGGGGCCCCAGCCCTGCCTTCCTGTCTACTGCCAGTGCTGGGCAGCGGCCGCCAACGCCCTGTCCGCAGTGGCGTTTAGTTCCTGAGGATGGACAGGGAGGGGGGCTGCGAGGCAGAGACCCCAAGGACGACACTCGGTGGAGATGGCGAACAGCAGGCTGCACGGGAAGTTGACCTACAAGCTGCAAAGGCCTGTGCTCGCCTGCAGGCCAGGTGCCTGGAAGGCCAGCAGAGGCCAGCACAGGGCAGCCGTCCCAGGGCCTCTGCTTGGCAGGGCGGCTGCCAGGGCACCCTCCCCGGCACCTACCTTCCCCGACTTGGTGGACGAGTTGCGGATGCAGTAGAGTCCATCCTGCGGCTCCCCCCGGGGTGCTCGTGGTTTTGAACAGCCTACAAAAGTCAGCAGGCGAAGCATCCTCAGAGAGGTCTCTCGGGGACCCTCCGGCCCCAGTCCCCAGCGTGGCTTTTGTCCTCTCGCTGTCCCGCAGCTCAGCTGCCGAGGGCGGTGGGTGCCGAGGGCAGTGGGTGCTGGGAGGGCCAGCCCACACAGAGCTCTGGGCCACAGGGTGACAGCCAGCAACGGGCCTGAGCTGATGGCATCTGTTGTCCTAGCTGCACTTGACCGTGTACTTGTGCCAGCAACGACCCAGCACCAAGGTGAGCGGGGAACAGAAACACAGAAAGAGCCCTGGCTGGTGGGGCTCAGTGGACTGAGCGCTGGACTGCGAACCAAAAGGTCGCGGGTTCGATTCCCAGTCAGGGCACAGGCCTGGGTTGCGGGCCAGGTTCCCCAGTAGGGGCCGTGAGAGAGACGACCTCACATGGATGTTTCTCTCCCTCTCTTTTTTCCTCCCTTCCCCTCTCTCTAAAAATAAATAAAATCTGTAAAAAAAAACCCAGCAGCAACAACAAGGAACCTCGTGTCCACAAAAACGAGGCCTCGGAGAAGGAGGGGTTCCCGACTGACCTCTCCACCTCGTAGGACTCTGTGGTGTTGACGAAGACCGAGCTGGGCAGCGGCACCTGGAGAGGGGTCGCGGAGGTCAGCGGCGAGGTCTCCACAGTACGTGAGGCCAGCGCCCCTCCCCCTCCCCCCGCTGGCTGCCGGCCTGCCCCAGGCTGTGCAGGGCTCCGTCCCCTCAACTCCAGGGACCCGGGCGCTCCCGGCTCGAGATGGCCCGTGTGGGGGGGCCCCCTGGCCGGCAGCACCCGCCCTCGCCGCCGCCCACCCACGGCCGGGACCGGGGTGCTCCACTCCGCCTCGCCTTCTCATAGTCCTCGTCGGAGTCCTTGCCGCCAGAGTCCGCCTGCGGGGCGTCGTCCTGGGAGGGCCGACGGGTCTTCTCAAAGGAGAAGCTCCTGAAACTCTGTCCGTCGGGGGGCGAGCGCCTGGGGAGGGGGCAAGAAGAAGGTCACGCTCCGTCGTCACCGTGGGCGGTGCCCCTCCACACGGCCCGCGCACGCCCGGTGACCGCGGCGCCAAGCTCAGCCTGGGAGCCACGGGGTCCGGCTGCCCGCGCTGGCCGCCCTGAGGTGGCAGGGAGCACCTGGGGCCGGGAAGCCTGAGCTGGGGCCAGGGTTGGCAATGGCCCTGGCGGGGTGAGGGGTGCTGGGGGCCCGCGCGCCGGTGTCGTCACACCGCAGACAAGTGCTCTGGGCGCCGTGGGACGAGGCCAGGTTGGAGGCGCCTCAGCCCCTGCTCTGCCACCGCCCCGCTTTGGAGCCCGGCCGAGTCACGCCCCTCCCAGAGCCACAGGGTGGCTGGATGACTGTGGACGGACCCAGTCCCGGGGACACGCCCACACCTGGGGCCAGGCGGTCACAGGGAGAATGAAAGGAGGCCACACAGGACGGGTTGCTGGGCTGTGGGCGCTGGGCCCCGGCACCCAGGCCTAGGTCGGGGCAAGGTGACCCTGGCCGGACCACCGCGGCCCCTCATGAAACAGGGGTGTGAGCATGGCGAGGGGTCCTCTCGGGCAACTCCCACAGGCGGCAGGGCGAGCGAGAGTCCTGGGGGGGAGGGGCCCGAGTCCAGAAACCCCGGTCCAGCGTGCCCACCCCTGTGGCTTCCAGGACCTTCCCTGCTGTGGGCGCGGGCATCTCTGACCACCGGCTGTTAGCACAGCAGTAAAGCAGAAAACATTCTGAGGAGGCCTTGGGGGTGAGTCACAGCCCCTCCACGGCCCCCTCCACGGCCCGGAGGCTCCCAGGCGGGAGGGGCACAAAGGCAGCTTTGACAGCTGCCGGGCCAGCGGCTCACCCAGAGCCCCAGGCAGGGTCCGAAGGCTCCATTCCCCACAAGGCCTCTCCCAGGGGCCAAGCCAGCCCTGCAGGTCCTCCCCTGACCCCAAAGGCCCTCCCTCAGCCCAGCAGGAGCTCTGGAAGCCCTGTGTCCCCAGAGTCCCCCTTGCCACGGCTCCCTGAGGCAGCCACAGACCCAGGCCCACCGCCCCATGGGCAGAGCACCTCGAGGGCACGGCTGGACGTCCTGTGGACCCCCGGTCAGGGGCAGAACTGGCCGCTCGGCCCCGGCAGAGCCTTCTGCCCCATCAGTGCAGGCTGGCGGCCCCCACCGTGGGCCGAGCACCAGGGGCAGGGAGGCCGGGAGGCAGGGGAGAGCTGGCCGTGTTGGGAGGGGTCCCAGGGCACCAGTGCCCGCAGACTCACTGGAGGTGAGGGTGGAGCGGCTTCTCCAGCCTGGGCAGGACCAGGGGCCGGACTGCGGCCTCCGGCACAGGCAGCTTCAGTGCAGGCGGCCTGGGGGCCACGGCGGGCACGAAGAGTCCAGGCTTGGCCGCCTCCCGCAGGGGAGCCTCCTCGGCCACCATCAGGAACTTGGGCTTGTTGGCTGGCACGGGCGGGGGCTCCGGCGTGGGCGGCCCCCGGGGAGACAGGTGGAAGGACTTGAGCTTGTCACAGTTCCTGGAGGCGGCCCCCGGGCTGGGGACGCGGGGCTCCGGGCCAGGGCTGCCGCTCTCGGGGAAGCACGGGGGCTTCCGAGGGTTGGGCGGGTGGGGCAGGCTGCTCATGGGGGGGTCGCTCATCCTCCGGGGGACAGCAGGCACCCTGAGGCCGGGCTCCGCCCACCTCGGGCCCAGCAGGTCCCTCTTGGAGTCCTCAGGAGCCGGGCCAGTGTCCGGGAGGCCACGCTTGGGTGGCGGCGGTGGCACCAGAGGGCTCGGGCCCCGGGAGGTGAAGGAGTGGGCCCGGGGCATCTCGAAGGCCAGCTTCCTGGCCACGGGCACGGGAGGCGGGGGGTAGGCCGGCGGATGCGTCAGGGTGTCTGCGGAAGAAAGAGGCCCTGCCGGTGAGCGGGAGTCGCGGGGGGAGGCTGGCCCGGCACCACCCCTGCTCCCACCCTCAGCATTCCCAGGCTGCCTTCCTCCCTCCGGCACTCGGCAGCCTGAGCAAGCTTCCCACGTCCCTAGGGATAAGGGAATCATCAGCAGGAGGGGAGCCCAGGCCGAGGGCGGAGCCTGCGGGAGGGTGGAAGGGGCCGTGGGAGACGGGGCGGGCAGGGCGAGCAGGCCGAGAGACATGGAGACAGATGCCAGGACTGAGGCACAGCCCCGCCCCACGCAGCCCGTGCCGCCCGGGGACACGCGTGTGTGGTTCCTGGCCCGGGCCCCGGGTTGTCCGCTACGCTGTGCTCGATGGGAGGTGGGGGTGGGAGTCGGGGGCGCAGTGACAGGCCCACAGAGCTCCAGAGAGCTGTCAGTCAAAGGGGGTGGACCCTGCTCTGGCCCTGCCCACTCCGGCCCATCGCGGCCTCAGCGCCCCAGTGCGCCCCCAACCCGCCGAAGCAGGGAACAGAGCAACCAGTGCGGCACCTTCTGCTCCGTTCCGCCCGACACACTGACACTCGGGGCCACCAGAGGGCCGCTGAGGCCGCCCAGACCGCTGCCCGGGCCCACCCTCCGGACACCTACCCTCGGGGGAGTCAGGCTCCAGGTAGGAGTCGTCGTCGTCGTCGTGCTCGTAGTCTGTGGGCGAGGGGGTCGGGTCAGGGGGGCCCGGCCTGCGCGCCGCGCCCGGGGGCAGCGCCGAGAGCACCTCTGCGTCAGGGAGGCCCGGGCGGGGGCGGGGGCAGGGGCGGGGACCCGGCGGGCGGGCGGGCTGCCGGGGAGGCCCCAGGGACGGGACAGGCAGAGCAGCCAGACCTGCCTCCCGTCCTGGGCCGAGGGGCGGCGCGTGCAGGGGGCGGAGGGCGCAGCGCCAAGGCGCGCCTCACCTTCGCTGTCCGTGGGGTACGGAGAGACACTGATGTCCACGGGCCGCTCCACGGCGCCGTAGAAGCTGTCCGAGTCGGAGCTGGAGTCGCTGAGGCTGGCGGGGAGGGGTGGGCGGGCGGGCCGGCCGGGCAGTGAGCGCAGGGCAGGGGTCCCCCTGCGCTCACACATCTGGACACGCTGGCACACGCAGACTCGGACAAACACAGGCACGCACATGCTCAGACACACGGACGTGGACGTACGCACAGATAAACACCAGGGCGCACACGGACCTGGACGCACAGACACGCACAGACGAGGCCAGGCAGGCGTGCAGACGGAGCCATGCAGACACGCTCCAGGTGGGGTTACACGGGCCGACACGGGAACAGGAGGCTGCAGTGGGCCCCCCGCCCGCCCGTGGTTCTTGCTACAAGTGTGCCCCCAACTGGTCAGATGCTGCCAGGCCTCAGGGTCCCAGTGCCCACCCGCTCCTTCCTTTGGGGCGTGCTCAGCCACCTCCAGGCCAAGCCTGCGGAGGGACACCGGCTGGGCCCCAGGGCCAGCAGCTCCGAGCGTAGCAGGGACCCACAGGGCGGCCTTTCGCAGGCCAGGCCTTGCACGGCCTCAGCCTCCTCGTCGATGAAAGGACGGTGTTTCTGGGTCACCCGGAGGGCTCCTGCTGCTGGCTGGGCCACCTCACGGCAAGGCCACCGGGACCCAGAGGGACTCGCCCTGGCCTCACTCCTGAGCCAGCCAGGGTGGACAAGGGGTGGGGGCACCCAAAGCCCTGAGCTGCTGCAAACGCTGGGCCTCCTGGGTGGGCAGGTGAGAGCACGGGACCCCTAAATAGGAACTACCAACGGGAGGCGCACACACACACACATTTGGGCACGTACGCACAGGCTTACACACTCGAGTGCACGCACACTCAGGATCAGACTGGGGGATGCACACGGGGCCCCCAGGAGAACCTCCGAGGAGGGGCCTCTGAGCCGAGCTCCTGGAGGTGGGGGCCGGGGCCAAGCCCAGGGCCCTGGCGACGCCCGCCCACCCGCCAGCACAGCCCCAGGCCCACCTGGTGTCCAGAGGCGCCTCCTTCTTCTCATGGAAGTGGCCGATCTCCCTGCGCAGCAAGGCCATCCAGCTCTGTAAGTCGGCCACGGCCAAGGTCAGCACGGTGCGGCCGGGGGCTGCAGTGCCCGCCAAGGTCGGGACGGCCAGCCCGTGGCCCCCTCGGGGCCGCAGCCCCCCTCAGCCCATTCCGGGCCCCTCCCGGGAGCACGTTCTGAGGCTCTGGGCGTGAGGGCAGGTCGCTGAGGGGCCGGCTGCCCGCGCGCCCCCCGGCCCCGGCCCCGGCCCCCAGGCACCACCTTGCGCTCGTCCTCAGAGGAGGCCGAGAAGAACCATGTGCGGTGCTTCTTGCTGATGTGGATGATCTTGAAGGGGAAGACGTTGCTGGACGTCGTCTCCTCGGCCGCCCGCATCACCCTGAGGGCACAGACCCCGGGGTCACCGTGGGTCCACGCCCGCGGGGGCCGCCCCGCCCCTGGACAGCACCCAGCACCGGGCTCCGGGGGACACAGGCAGGTCTGGACGGCCGGGAGGAGGCCCAGAGGCTGCTGGCGGAGGGGAGCGCTGGTCCTGGGCGGGGGGTGGGGCGGGGGCGCGTCCCGGGAGCAGCAGCCGGTGAGGCTCCGAGACAAGGACCCTTCCCCCTCGCTGCCCAGGACCGGTCACCACCTCCCGCCTCGACCCTGCCTGCCCTGCTGTCTTTTCTAAGAAACGGATGTTTTACTTTTCTTTTTGGAGAGGGGGAAGGGGCGGGCAGGGGGAGAGAGAGATGTGAAAAAGAAACATCGATTGGCTGCCTGCCAACTGGGGACGGAACCTGCAACCCAGGCGCGTGCCCTGAGTGGGAATCAAACCCACGACCTTTCTGTGCACGGGCCAACAGGCCAACCTCTGAGCCACATCCGCCAGCACCCCCTGCCCCCCGCTGTCTTGAGAGCATTTCAAGGAGATGACTCACTGTGGTCACTCGCCCAGCCAGGGCGCAGGGTTTGCACAGAGATCACAGGGTCTAGCGGGGGTGGGGGGCCCTGCCGGGCCGGGCACCTTGGGCAGGTGTGCCCACGTGGTCTCTAAAAGGGCCTGAGCTGGCAGCCCCTGGGGCAAGGCGGCACCCCCAACCAGGCTGAGGGTGCGGAGTTGGGGGAAGGGAAACGCCCCTGCACAGGTGACCCCGGGGCAGCCACAGGAGGGCCCCGGAGCCTGCTCCCCCTCTCAGCAGTGCCCCAGCCGGCCCGTCCCCGGGCTGGGTGCTGGGGCCAGGCCCCCCACTGGGCTAGAGGTTAGGGTGGGAGCCAAGGTCGCGAGTCCCTCCCCGAGAGTCCCGGTCCCACCAGCAACACTACGGAACCCGGAGTCACCCCCGGGCAGGAGGGACAGGCCCTTCCAGGAAGGCGAGAGGCACAGGCTGATGCCACCAGGCGCAGGGCCCCGGGGCTAACTCCACCTGCCCTGCAGGCCCCACAAAATGAGGGGTGGGCGGGATGGAGCCGGCAGACGGCCCTGCACAGCAGCGCGCCACTCCTCACAGGGAGTTCGGGCCCAGTGCTCCCCTGCCCCGGAGCCGGGAGCCCTCCAGGGCAGACTTGGGGCCCCTTGCCTGGGAGGCCCCTGGAGCCAGGGTGGCCTGGGACAAGGCCTGAGGCGGGCCGGCCTTGGCCCCTTGGAGGGAGTCTGTGGTGGACAAGGGGCAGGGAGGAGGGATGCAGAAGCCACTGGGCAGTGGGCCGAATGGGGACCCGGAGGCCTGCCGATAGAGCGCAGGGAGCCCCCGGCTCACCCCAGGCCCTGGGACTAGACCAGGGGGAGGGGCAGGTGCCGCCAAGGGGCAGCGGCGAGGCTGGGCATGGCACCCAGGGCGGGCACTCGAGCCGTCTCGGCAGAGTCTGGGTGGCACAAGGGGCAGGTCCGACCAGAGCCCTGTCGGGGAGCCGGGGCGCAGCTGGCCGTGGGGCGGGGGAGGCAAAGGCAGGCAGGCGCTCACCGGTTGTAGCCGTTCAGCGAGAAGGCACCCTGCGGGGAGGCGGACGTGCTGGTCTTGAAGTAGTAGATACACCGCTTGTGGATGATGACAAAGCGCAGGGGCCCTGTGGGCAGCGGGGCGAGGGTGGGGGTGAGCTGTGGGGGGCCGCTGGGCAGACCCCACTCCGGGGACCCTCCCCAGAGGCTGTGGGGGCTGAACCAGGCCTCAAACCCCCTGAATGGCCGGGCTGGGAGCTGGGCCAGCACACTGGCCCCTCCCCAGGAGTTCATTTGACCGCCATAGGGTACATGCGGACAAGTTCATGGGCATGATGGCCAGCCCCCAGCAGGGGTGGAACGGGGGGGGGCTGGCTGTGTGGAGTTACCACGGCCCCCAGTGACAAGGGCTGTGAGGCTGGGTCCAGGAAGGGCCAGAGGCCCAGGGCAGCCACGGCCACTTTGCTGGGTGCTGGGCGGCAGTTGGTAAGTCCCCCGCACCCTAGGCCGGCACTGCGAGGACCGGGGCACCTAAGCCCAGAGGGCCCACCGACAAGAGCCACCGGCGTGGAGCCAACCCCCAGGCTGGGCGTCTCCCTGGGAACCCCCGCTCTCCAGGGCCCCGTCCCTGAGCAGCCGCACCCAGGCCAGGGGACAGGCCAGTAGCAGACTCCCTGCCGGACGGCACCAGGCCAGCGGGTGACCAGAGACCAGGCAGCACGGGGTGGAGACAGGGCCCCTGGGGCTGCTCGGGCGGACGGACCAGGCCCAACGCTCTCTGACCTCCAGTGTCTGGACAAGCGGGGCCTTGGCTTGGCGGATGGGGCCACTTCAAACCTTGTGACAAACCCCCCCACTGAACACCCACCGGCGAAGGCAAGGGCTCACTCTGTGCACCGGGTGGAGGCCCCCCCAGCTCTACATGGCCCCGGACCCCCTCCTGGATCTGAGGAGGCCCACCGCAGGCCCGCCGGGGGCGGCGGCCACCAGGGACAGAAGGAGGACTCTGAAGGGCCCACCGTGTCCAAACGGCAGGCTCCGCTCCCACGCCCCCCATCTCGCCCCCATCGCGCCCCCCACGGCAGGGGACTCACACTTGAGCAGCTGCAGCTGGGTGCCCCCCTTCTTGTGCAGGTAGCCGGCCTTGGCCACGCCCCCGGGCATGGTGAGCAGGTTCTGGGCGCCAATGGCCTTCATGGGCACAGGCCAGTGCATCTCCTCGGCCGCCATGAAGCTGTGAGAGAAGGGGAACTGTCTCAGCCAGGCGTGGGGGACAGGAGATGGCTTAGCTGGACGCTGCCGAGACCCCAGAGACAGCACGAGGGTTCCAGGCAGCGAGCGGTGCGAAGGCCCCGGGCTCCTAGGGCCGAGCCCGGGGAGACAGGCCGCCTGGTCCACCTGGTCAGCCCAGTCTGTGTGGCCACGTCCCCGACCTCCAGAGACCCTGAGAGCTCAGCGTGTTCCTTCGCTGCCACTGGTTCATTCAGCGCACACCCACCAAGCTCAGGTCCCACGGGGGCTGGGTTGCGGCGGTGAGTGAACCACTAGCAGTGAGTGAGCTCGGGAAACCGCTGGCCCGGGCAAGTCAGCCGTAGCCCGCAGCCACCCCAAGTCCAAGCGCCAGGCGCGCCTGTCATGGGGCCTGCCCTAGACAGGAAATTCAGGGAGGGCTTCCAGGAAGAGGTGACAAGAGTCGCAACCTGAAGGAGAGAGTTAAAGAGGTACAGGGGCTGGGGCTGGCCCTGGGCAACCTCTTTACCAGCTCTGAGCTTCAGCGGGGAGGGCCATGGCCCCTAGATATGCAAGCCTCCACTCCTGAGGCAACCCTGAGCTGGCTTCTATCCTTTCTTTCTTTCTTTCTTTCTTTTTTTGAGAGAGAGGGAGAGAGGGTAACATCGATTTGTTGTTCCTCTTATTTATGCATCCGTTGGTTGAGTCTTGTATGTGCTCTTACCGGGGATTGAACCCGCAACCTGGACACGTTGGGACGCTCTAACCAGCTGCACTACCCGGCCAGGGCCACTCCATCCCTCCCTCAAGGCCTTGAGGCAGGGAAGCAGGACAGCAGGCAGCCAGGGGCCCCCAGCTCCTGGGTCGGATGACCTGGCTCGGCCTTCTGGGGGTCCCTGACCCGCCGCTGCGGGGGCTGTGAAGTGGCAGGGCCGCGCAGACACAGCGTGGCACGCAGCACAGCCTCGGCCGCAGCGCCGGAGCACGACTGCCACCTCCCCACCAGCCTGGGGCATCACCGGGCAGGGACCACACTGAGCGCCGTCACCCGGGGCAGGCTGCTGGTCTCGGGCCGGCCCAGGCCCATGGGAACGCGGCTTCTCCATCCAGCCTCCTCCCGGGGCCAGGCTGCCACCCCGCTCACCTGGGGAACTCCGGCTCACCCTTCCAGTCCCAGGTTCCGAGTGCCCTTGTCTGTGCGGCACCTCAGTGCCCCATCACAGTTGGGCTCCCCCCTCCCCCGCCTCTCTGAACAGCACCCCCCAACCCTGCACCGTTATGTCTGGGCCTGCCCCCGCCCAGCCCCGGCCCCTCCTGGGAGTCCCCAGAGTGGGAGGAGGTAGCGCCCTTAGGGGCGCAGGTAACAGCAGACCCAGAGGCCCAGGCCTGCTGGGACTCCTGCCACTTCCGCCCCACCCCCGAAAACACAAAGAAAAGCACTCTGCTCCAGGAAAAGCAGCACCGTCCATGAACTGCCCACCGCCCGCGGCCCGGGCTGCCCTCGGCCTCTGCCCAGCCTGCGGCCCTCCCGCCGGCCCCGCACACAAAGCCGCCCCTCTGGCCAGGGCTCCCCTGACAGCCCAGGCTGCGGACAAAGCACGGCCCGCACTCCGCGCCGCCCGGCGCGGCCCCAGAGGGACCCAGGCCCCCGCTCGCACCCTGGTAGGTGCTACGGACGGACAGACAGGCAGCCGCGTGCCCCTTCGGGAGCCCCCGACCCACCCGCCGCCCCGGCCGGCCGACGCCCGCCTTTGTTCTCGCAGGAAGCGCTGACCGGGTCCGGGCTTGGTACTCACGGCGGCCACGCGGCGGGCACGGCCAGCTTCCGGGGGTCGGCCCGCCGGCCCTGCGCGCACCGACAGGGCCCTCGGCCGGGCGACCCCGCCGCCTCGCCCCCGGAGCCCGCCTCCAGCCGACCCCAGCCCCGCGGCCGGAGGTGCCCCGCACCAGCCATGCCGCCGCGAACCCCGCCCGCCCCCAGCCCCGCCCCCAGCCCCGCCCCCAGCGCCAGGGGCAGGTGAGGAGCCCCGCCCCCTGTGCGAGCAGGTGAGGAGCCCCGCCCCCGGCCCCGCCCCTCAAGAGTGTGCTCCTGTAGACGCGGATCCTTCACCGCGAACTCTTGCAAAACCAGAACAGGAAGAAACTCTGTCCGTGCGCCAGCATCACGCTGACGCCCAAGCCGAAGGCACCGCCAGCCGAGAGGGGCGCAGGCCGACGACCCTCTGGACGAGGCAACCAGCTCCCCAGCAAACGCAGGACTGGCGAGCCGGCTCTGCTCCTGCCGGTGGGACGCGTCGCGCACGACCCAGTGAGTGCGAAACATTGTGTCCATCCAGTAAAGGACAAAAGCCACGTGATAGTCTCAGGAGAAACAGGCATTTGACGAAATGCAACAATCCTTCACGATAACCACGCCGCTCCAGGACCGGGAAGCTGCCTCACTCTGGAAAGGGGCGGCGGGGGAAAGGCCGGGGCTCGCGCACGCGCCTTGGTGTGAGGACCGGCGCTTCGCCCGAGGCCAGGGGCCAGGCAGGCGTCCCTCTCCTCACTGCCTGCCACTCCGCATGGCCCCAGAGGGCCCAGCCGGGGCAGTTAGGGGAGGAAAAGGAAGGGTGTGCGGATGGGAAAGGAAGGAGGTCAGCTTCGCGGACTAGACGGCCGTGCACACAGAACACGCCAAGGAACCCACCGAAAGTGATCAGCACTGACCGGCGGGCCCGCTGCGTGGCAGGGCACAGACAGCAATCCCGTTCCTGCACACCAGCAAGGACCAATCCCAAAATGAGCCGAGAGTGCGCTCGAGGGTGACCTCTGGGGGCCCTGTGTCCCTCCAAACACTGGCCACGGCAGGCTGTCACTGTCCCCCAACCCTCGCCAGCCCAAGCCCACCACAGAGGGGCACCCAGGGAGCCCCCGAGGAGGTGTGGAACTCGGACCCTGGCAGGTGGTGGGGACAGCAGGGGGCCGACACGGAGCCCCCACGCCAGCGGACCGCGCTCCCCCCGGTCTGAGAGCAGACCGGACACGTGTGAGGGCGGGAGCAGCTGCTGCCAGGGCAGGCAGAGCCCACACTCCCGGACCCACCCCTGGGGGAGGTCTGGGGGCCAGGCCTGCGAGGGCCCCCACTCCCACCTGGCCGCCATCCGTCCATGGGCACGACGGGGGCTCCAGGCGGCCACCGGCTGAGCTCGGACGGGCAGGGTGGGTGGACACAGGGCGAGGCTGTCGCCACCTTCCCCCGCCCAGGAATGCCCTCGCTCCAGGGACTGAGGCCAACACCCGCAGTCCCTCTCCGAAGGGCGGGCCACCCAAAGGGAAGCCCATCCTGACACCCCAACAGCGTCTGGCCACCCCCGGCCTGCCCTGCCCCAGGGGTGAGCTGGGTGGGCTGGCACCCGCCCAGAAGCCCAGCGCCCCGCCAGGCAGGAGTGGGAAGGGGAAATGGTGGCTGCGGGTGAGGGTGATGCGGGGCCGCGGCAGTCACAGTGACCACGCAGCTTTGGGGGACTTCCAGGCTCCTGCTGCCTCCGTGCCCAGGAAAGTTGAGGGGAGTCCCCAAGGGGCACCCTTCCTGGGCACCCTTCCTCCTGGGCCGGCCTGGCCTCCCTGCCTGCTGCTCTCAAAGCCCAGGGTGTCGCCCCAGCCCCCGAGACCTGACAATTAAGGTCCACTGTCCCCGGGGCCCCCGCAGGCCACCCCGTCAGCTCACCGCAGGGAGTCTCAGCCTCCCGCTTCTCTAGGGGGAGACACCCCCCCCCCCGCCACCCTGGCAAGCTGCTAGAGGTGCCTGCTGAGCCGCCCTGGCTTGGAGCCGTCAGGGGCAATGCGGGAGACCCGGGTTCAAATGCCACCAGGCCTGTCCTCCTCTGAGCCTCTGCCTCTTCCCGTTTCAAGGGGGCATCGTGAGGCTGCTCCCCAGGGTGCCCTGCAACAGCACAGTGACAAGTCTGTCCCCCCCGCCCCGGGGACCGGGGCTGCCCAGCGAGCCGGCCACAGAGTCAGCACCGGCCCCCGGCCTGCAGTGCTGCGGAGGCTCTGCTCCCTGCAGCTCGGGGGGCTGCCCGAGGCAGGGTGCTGGGGGCCCACGGGCAGTGTCAGTGGCCACGTGGGAGCTGCACGAGCCCCTCCAGCAGGCGTGCGTGTGCTCGGGAGTTGGACACCGTGGCCCACTTGGCCCCTGCTCCTGGGCTCACCCCCCCAACCCCTGCTCTCAGGGTTGAGACTGGGCCAGGTGACCGGAGACTGAGGGGCAGGGTGGGGACAGAGTGGGAAGGCAGGCGGAAGCAGCTCTCTCCCACAGCCCCTTCGGGTTCCGGGAAGTGCAGGCCCCGCCGGCGGTGGGGCCACAGCCTGGGGGGGGTGGAGGCTCCAGGCCCACACAGTTCCGCACGTAAGCTGTGGGTCCACCCCGCCGACAGTGGCCAGCTTTGTGGCTGCAGTGTGCCACAGGACACATGAGAGCTGTGCGTGCACATGTGTGGAAGGGTGTGAGCCTGGCCGTGAGAGCAAAGCGGGGGGGGGGTCTGGGGGTCTGGGGGGCAGCTGCAGGCACGGCCCTGGCCGGGGCGAGGGAGCGGGCGGCTCGAGTGACCGCGGCATCAGAGAGTCCCTGTCCGCGGGGCCAGGCGGGCCGGGGGGTGGGAGCCACAGGGCGAGGGAGCGCTCACGCTCGCACACTCTCACACACCCGCACGCACGCGTGTGCTTGTCCACACACACACGCTTGTGCCCTCATTTAACCCTGCATGCACACACACCTCATTCTCACGCTCACTTGCACGCATCCAGACACACACACAGCCTCCGGGGCGGCCAGGAGTCTCGGTGGAGGCCCTGTGCCCTGGGCAAGAGCGTGGGCCCTGGTCAGAGCCATGGCCGCCACCCGGCCCTGCGCCACCCAGGGCCAAGGCCAGCCTGACAGCCCGCCACGCTCGCCGGCCCAAGGCCCCACTCCCGTCTGACAGGCCGGGACACCGGGCCCGGGCCCGAGAGTCTCAGGCGCAGGGAGGCGGGGGGTGGGGCATGGGGGGGAAGGGGCGGGCACTTCTTGTCATCACCCCCGGGGCCCCCGACGTACGCGTGAACCAGCGTCACCCCCGCGTCACTGATGAAGACACCAGAGAAGCTGAGTGACTCGCCCAAAGCCACACAGCTGGTGACAGTGCGGCGGCCCCCCCCCCACCTTCCCGCACAGCCGCGCACCCCCTGCCTGGCCGGGGGGGGCACGGGGCAGATGGATGACGGCTGCCGGAGGGGCCCCAGCGCCTCCCACCGGGCTCACTTGCTCTTGACTTTCGGTTTCCCCTAGTTCTTCCTCTTCCCAGAACCCTTCTCCATAAAAGAATCAAAACCAAACAGCTTCCATGGGGGCGGGCGGCCCGCCGTGCCGGAGGGAGGGCAGCGGCTGGGCTTCGGGGGCAAAGCCCCGGCCCGCAGGGGCCCCACCCCCGAGCACTGCGCCGGGCAGCGGGGGCCGGGGCTCCCCCAGCGCCGCCTGGACCCTCGGTGCCTGGGCGGGCACACACACTGGTCCACACTACAGGCACACCCACAGTCACAGACACAGGCACACTGTCACACCCTCACTCACACACTCCTTCATGCTCACACCCACACTCACACTCAGTCCCACTCATGGTCACAGTCTCTCACCACGCTCGCGCACACAGTGTGTGTGTGCACGCAGATCCCAAATGCCAAGGCCACCCCCAGCACGGTGTGCCGTGGGCAGACTCGGCCCAACCTGGGCCCCCGCCCCAGCAGGCTGCCGGGCCTCCCTGCCGGCTGCCGGCTGAGTGCCCGGGGCCAGGGCCCCGGCCCCCTCACGGGCCTCCCCAAGCGGTCCTGTAGGCGCCGGCCCGCACCGCCTCCCGAGGGCCGGTCCCCGGGGCCACCCCACTGACCTGATGGCGCTGACCCAGCACATGGCTCTCCTCCTGCCTGGCGACGGGTGGGGGACCGGTGTCCTGGGGCCCAGAGAGGCCATGTGGCTCAGGGGCCACGGCGCAGAACCGCGGCCCGCATCCCCCAGGCTGGTGAGGGCCGCTGCCCCCGGCGCTGCCCGAAGTGCCGCCCAGCTGGCCGCGCCCTCGGCTCCCTCGCGCCGGCAGCCACCTGCTGCATCTGGGGCCCGCGGCCAGCGGGCTCCGCACCACCCCCTGCCGCCGCCGCCGCACTTCCTGTTGCCGGCCAGCCCCAGGCAGCGGCACTTCCTGCCTGCCGGGCCCGTCCGTGTCACTCAGCCCGCGGGGTTCAATGGCCCCTGTGGTCAGAGACCACAGCTCTCCAGGCCCCTGGGGGAGACCAGCTGTGTCCCCTGAGAGGAAGCTCCCCGCGGGTCCCCAAACAGCCCGGGCTTCTCCCCAGCAAACCGCCAAAGCCCCACACAGGCCAGGGCCTCGGGCTCGGCCTCCTTGGCCCGTGAAGAAGCCGGCGCTGACACCCCACACGGGGGCTGCGCCCCTGGCCCCTGGGCCCTCTGGGTGGCAAGGTGGCCCCTCTCTGCCCTTCGACACCACAGGGCCTGGACAACACTGGTTCCGGGCCAGAGACTGGACGCAGCCTCCGGGTGGGTGGGAGCGGGCCCGGCACCCTCCAGGGGCGGCCGCCCCGCCGGCGCTGCGAACGCTGCGCCTGCTGGAGAGCACCCGGGGCAGCCAGAGTGACGGACGTGCCCCGCGGCCCCCGGTCCCGCCCGGGGCTCTGCCCCGCCATGGCCAGGGGGCTGGGGAGCCAGGGGTCAAGTTTAGGCCTTTCAGCCCTGAGGCCCCATGCCCCCTGCCCCTCCTCCCCTGAGCCTGGCTGGGTCTCAAAGTCCCAGGGAGGACAGGACCAGCCAGAGGAAGGGCACCCTGGGGCCACTCTGCTGGAGGAGCTGAGGGTGGTGGGCCACGGGGTGTCCCGGAGTTGCGCAGGCCTCACCGTGCCCACCGGGTTTCCCAGGGCACGGCCCCCACCACCAT